CGTTCAGCACTGACAGAGACAAGAAATGTTCAGAGTGAGCAAGGCCTTCCTGGAAACAGACTGGAAAGAACAGAGGTAACAGACCTAGTTTGTAACACATGCACAAAAACAATAAGAAATGCTGGCTTGAATTTGAACAGTGAAGCATGGTTATGAAAACAACAACTCATCTCACAAGCCAATTGCTTTAGTTGTTTCCTATTTGTTTCTTTCATTCATTACAAGGTTGTCATGACCGAATCACCCTTTATTACTGTTTTTTTTAACATTAAGAGACACTCAGAGACTTAGTTTTCTAATCTTGTCTCATCACAGTCCTTCACTTCAGCTGTGAAATATTCAAACGCGTACAGAGTACAGAGATTAGCTTCTATGCCAGTATTGACTCCTGCCCTTTCAATCAACAGACACAGGAATGTCTTGGACACATAATGACTGCTGATGTAGCATACACAAGGACAGCTATTCATTTGACTACATTTATGAATAAAAGTTTTTAACTTTTGATTATTTTTTACATAGCTGGTGAAAGTCTATTTTTAAGTACAAAGAAAAAATAATTTCTCAAAATGGGACTTTAATGTTTCCAGACTTTAATTTGAAATAATTACACAAAAAGGAGAGACATGCCTGAAGGCTACCCTAGAATTTCATGGTCTTGTTTTGGGAAGAGACAGATTAAAGCTTTGTTTATAGCAGATCGAGATGCTAAAAAATGAATTAAATAACTGCGTTTGCTAATATGGCTCATTGCCATGCAAATAAAATTCCAACAGGAATAAACAGTTTTAAAGAACAGCTTTGAATCCTTAATTACAGCCAAAACAGATGTGAGTCTGAGTAATTTTATGTTGCTGTAAAATGAGGAAAAACATCCTTTAGAAAATACTCTTGTGCGACCCTTCATTTTTTCTCTACTCCAAATGGCTCTGTATTACTTGCTTTAATGGTTTTCCTGAATAATATATGTTTTTTTATCAAATGGCATCCTTTATCCAGTTTTTTGTTTTCATACCAAATAGATCACATATAGTTAGCATTCTACAAAGCTGTCAATTTTAGTTAATATTAAAGAAAGGCATGAGCCTAATGAATTCTAGAAAAGTGAAGACTTAAAGTAAACAGAAATATTAAATTATGAAAAAGTAACAATGTCTCAATAGAAAGATACAATGTACTCAAATATTATGGTGACAGTGACATATGGTGACATAAACATGTTCACTCTACTTCATACAACCACAAATGGTGACTAAAGAGTGCCAGTGTGAGAAATAAAAAGAAAACAGGATGTTTTAAGCAGTACACAACTGTGCTGGGGAGGCTCTCCTAGTGTTCTGTTGTGACTTAAGTTTAAACTCCACAGAGGTTCAAAGCAATTTGCAAACTTTTACCCTGTGAGTAACACGCAGTCAAACTAGACTTCAACCCAGTACAACAACTACCCCCCTATACCAGAAACTATTGCCCCTGATTGAAAAAATAAAAAATGGATACTAGTAATAAGCATTTTTTAGCAACTCCAATCTCCTTTGAGGCTGCTGACAAAAAAAAACACTTGCCCTACTGTGAAACAATCCATTTTCTGTCCTATTGCTTTTAAATTATAATTTGCTCTGGGGCACATATTCAATTGAAACTGTCAAATCCGTCTGACCCAAAGAATTTGTATCCTACCCCAAAAAATGGCCGGCTGTTTCCCATTGCAGGCTTTGTCTGGTATTTCTAATCTTAACTGGACCCAACTCCAACTGGGGCTGATGTTTAGAAGCTTGATTAGACACCCGCAAATTTACTGCTTTTTCTGTTTCTTCCAGGCTCTCTTATTACACACACACACAGAGAAAAAAAGAGGAAAAAGTGAAACCTGTGCTTCTCCGCACCAGTCAGGTAGTGGGATCCCACAGCACCATCCCTATGACACGCCATGTGGAATGACAGCCCAGAGTCTGCCAAAATCATAACCTCGGGTACAAGCTTGATGCTCATAAGAGCTACGACAGCACATACATATTAATCCAAAAAACTAGACCACCTAACAGAAAAGGACTCCACAGAACTTTCAAACTTTGTCGTGGCAAGTGTGTGTGTGTGTGTGTGTGTGTGTGTGGGGGGGTCTATGAAAATGGATGAGTGAAGAGGCGAGAAGTACTGAAGAAGAAAATATGACATAGCAGCTGAAAGGCCAGCTGTTATTCCAAGGAACATGCAGAGGTTAATTCCACCGTGTAAAGGAAAAACTAAGAGTAAAAAACACAACGTTTTGGCTGAGGAGCTTTCTTCAGGTGTCTCTTCTGCACCCTATTTAACATTACTGGCCTGTCTAGGCCTTTGGCTAAGTTTGCAGAGACAAATCTGTGTTTGCAATATCATATATTATCCATTCACACAGCCGGTCAAACTCATAAATCATATCCCCTTGTGAATTGATCATATTTGCTCTCTCTTCAGAGGCAGAAGTATAAATGAAGCATACTGTCTCTAGCCTAGGACACATGGAAATTTAGCAAGTCTGTGACTAAACCCCTTGAATAGTATTCAGTTTGTTTATGAATAAGAAAAAGTGTTTTTAGAAAACATTTAAAAAGACAAGCTGAAAAGTACTTTGCAGAAACAGGATCAGAATATCCCATGTACTTCAATTTTGTCTTTGTATAGCACAAGCTCTGCGCTCTTTATATTTGTATATTTCTCACTTGATATTTTTTACAAGATATAACAATAAAAAGTGCAAAAATGTTTCATAACATAAGGCCAGAGATCCAGTTATGCTGTCGAGAGGAGTGTATAAGGGCTGCTCTAATTTGTAAACGCAAACAACTTGGTGGGTGGGTGAGAACACTGAGGAAAAAATGTGAAAAGTGTATTTTAAGAAGGAAATATCTGAATTTAATAGACAGCTTGCAACAGAATTTCCACGATGTCATGATAAACTGAAGAAAATACTTGCAGAAGCCAAATGTATCTATTGCCTCCTGCGGAAAATTCAAGAAACTAAAAACCAAATTGACTTGACTGATCCAGTAGAAAAAAAAAACACTGAAAGTTAAGTAGCAGTGTACTTCTCTCATTACTGCACTAAACAAATTAAGACATGTCCTGAGATTCATGATGATTTGTTAACAGCTCAGTGTGTTCAGTGCTTATCATTCCCCTGGTTGAACTGGCAATCGGGCTATAACATTTCCAGGACTTTTTTTCCCCCTCTTTTTACTTTTTTTTTTTAAAGGAAGGACAGCTTTGTTTCTGCAACATGAAACAACCTTATCTAACCGGGCAGGTGCACACTTTAATAATTCAGTCTTGCATATTGACTCGGTGAGAGATCATGTCAAAAACTCTGTATTAAATACCCACACTCTCCCCCCTTTGCAAAGTCTCTGAGCCAACATGATTTGACAAGAAACCCTGTATAAAATGTCACCACAGGGGGGCTTTGAAGGCGTGTGCGTATCAGAGGCAAGGCTAAATGAGGTTCTTCATTGGGAAAATGTGCGACTCCTAAGGTATGCCGGCGGCCACTACCTGGGCACAAGTGCTGCATTGTGAACAAGGAAAACGATAGTGCCCCGGCAGCTTCCAAATATCTGGTTACTATGACAACACCACTACCCCCTCTTTTCTTTTCTCTGAAGAAATAAGAGATTTCTGACAGAAAAAATGCTATCCCGGTGGGAAACAGGGCACATGTAAAAGTGCAGCCTTTGACAAAGGGCCACTCTCGGTAGATGAACAAGAATAAAAAGGCAACTTCTTTAAGTGGATTTCATTTACAACCAATTAGTCAACACCTGATCACACTTCACAGTGATGGAAATTCCAAAGGAATCACTTGATTTCACACTGTTACTAATTTCTATATACTGTACAATACCAAAAGATAATACTGGTATGATGTTACTTTGAAGACTATTTTTGTACATTATTTTGACATTTGTTTCCGTAATGAAATAAACTAAAATTAATGGTGAACTCTGCTTAGTTTTGAATGATGATTCATTCCTATTAAAACTGCTTTGTTGTCTCAAGATTTTGGGTTCTGCCACTCTTGTTAAAAAAATGAATTCAGTTTTTGCTGTGGCAGCTCTCTTCATTAAAAGATTGCTCCTTCAAGGCTGACTGCAGAATTATCCTCATTACAAAAATTAAAATAATCATAATTATAGGGGGTTCAATTAATCATCGCAATGTGAATGGCATTTTCATCTGTAACATCATCATCTTTCAAAAATTATGCCTCATGTTAGTATTTAATTGATGCCATTTTCCCCAGTATCAATCAGACAAGAAGACAGGCAATTTGCAAAGACAATAAAAGAAAAATCCTGTGGTAAAAAAGCCCAGTAAAAAATGATACTTTATGAGATTGCTTCACAATCCTGTAATTTACTGAATTCATTATTAAAGGGTCCAGAACGAAATGTGAGACTTGATTCCGTAAATGTGGTACTTTCCAAGGTCAAATTTAGCCTGTAGTTAAGCTAAAATTACTCAGGTCAACTATTTAAAATTTAAATTGAGAGAAATTATAGAACATAGGCGTTTATCAGTGCAAATTCTCACCCCACTTACTATTTATTTTGTTTAATTAACAATTAACTGTCCACTGACACTATTGCATATGACAGTCTATGGAATGATAACTACAAGTGCTTCAGTATAGTGCTCTTATCTATTCTACTTTATTGAAATGGTTTCACTTCCTGCAGTCTCCTAGCCACACTAACAACACGGGTACAGGCGAACAGGTCTGCACTCGTCGTTTCAAAGGCATTTTTTTAAAGGCTTAGCTTTCAGCTTAGACAGTGGTTGGAAACGCATCTAAAGAGTTTTTAGAGGAAGAGTAGAGATCATTCAGCAGCCCCTCAGACCTGAAGAGATCCCTCAACAGGTTTGCAGGAAGCCTTTGACAAACTCTGGGGATTGGGGGAGGGCGGGGGGTGTTACTGTCGACCCCAGCTGGCTGCACCTGCTGACCCATGCCCAGGGAGGTTTCTTACCTGGCACGTCTTGTTCGCTGGCCCTGGGGCTGCTCCTCGCTCGACGCTCCGTCTTCTTGATGCCTGGGCTGCCTCCCCCTGCCCCATTGTGAGTCTTGCCGTATCCATTGTACACTGCTGTGCAGCCCACGTTGTTTTTGTAGATGGACGCAGGGGGACTATTGAGCCGGTTCTGCCGGTCCAGCTGCCGTTCTTTCATCTTCTTGGGCTGTGGCTTGTACTGGTCCTCCCTGGTTATGTAGTTGGACATACCGTAAACGGGGATGATCTCTTCAAATGGAGAGAAAACAAAAGAGCAACTTGAGAATGAACGACAACGTCGGAGGCCATCTACTCAGTAATATAAGGGGGGTTTCCCCGTGAAAAGTCTTTACAATAACAATTAGTGGAATTTGTTTAGGTTCCACTGTGTATAGTATGAGCACCCAGTCTCTCTGTACTAACCCTTATGATCCCACTGGGCTCTGCTTTTCATTTCGGCCCTCAATTACACCAATCAAACTCTTATTTCAAGCTTTTTAGCTGTTTGCCCTTCCTTAAAAGTTTCAGATATAATTTACCTTCTAATACACTCCTGCTTCAGAGGAGAACACGACTACCGAGGCCTAATTAACAAGTCATTAAAAGATGGCGGGTACTCTAAATCGTAGTAGACTCTTACCTTCCCCATATATTGTTGGAGGAAGGTGGTGCTGTGGAAAGAACTGGGGTGGTATGTCTCCCGGCCCTGTGACAGGGGGGTAGAAGGCTGTATGGGAGTTGGGGATGAAATGATGGTGGTGGGCAAGGTACGGGGGTATGTGGTGCGTAGGCGAGATGGCAGAAGGGTAGCTGGGGGGGTAGCACTCAGGAGACTGTGGTGTCACTACCACACGTCGCACTCCAGTGTTGTCTTCAATCACCTGTGGACAGAAAGAGGACAATGGTCAGTAAAAATGTACATTTTAATTTTTGCTTTCTGATTGAAGAATGGCTACAACAATAAAGCCGTATTAAAAAGATTTTCATCTTGGTTCATCAGCTTGAAGGTAGCATAATGAATTTGGTCACCTAGAATCTACATATTGTGACTAAGCAATATTAACTTATTTGGTATCCTCTATCCCCAGCAATGTTATTTACAAATCTTTTGAATGTAGCAAACATGGCTTGCTAAATCGTATTTGGCAGTTTTACTGAACTTTTTCAATCTAAGTGGTAGTTGAAATTTCTAATAAATGAATTTAATATATAGGATATAAATGCCACCTGCTCCTCCATTGACAGATACAAAATTGTTGAAATAAGTATTTACTCCCTTAAAATTCAACAGATTGTGAATTGCACTAAATATATTATTGTTGCAATAATGCACTTGATTTCTTGACAATGAGGAAGGACACACCCACATGTATGCACTGAATAATCTCAACTTAATAAATCAGTGTATTGGGTGCCCAGACACATCCGTGAGTGTCAATGACTATTTGTGTTCTTAATCATGTATGACAAATCCCAGGATTGCATGAATACATTTTATGATTGTATGGCGACTGGATCTTTTCATAGTGCAAGACAGTGGTTTTACCACCTCAGTACCTAAGCAAGGGTAGGCAGGGTCAGTACTCAGATACTTAGAAGCCCTAGTTGTCAGAAGAAAAAGATTAATAATAATAAAAATAATAAACTTTATTTTATATAGCGCCTTTAAAGGTGGCTTCTCAAAGCGCTTTACAGGATGACAATAACAATAAATAAGAAGACTACAACAATAAATAAGAATACACAAGATAAGACACAATTAGAATTACAACAATACAACAATAACAATAGAGGAGACCGTGGAAGGTGGTACTAAGAAGAGCAGAGGGGTGAAGAGTGGAACCAGTTAAGTAAAGGCTTTTCTGAAGAAGGTTTTGAGTCTGGATTTGAAGGAGTTTAGAGAAGGTGACTCTCTGATATCCTTGGGCAAAGAGTTCCAGAGCTGGGGGAAGGAGAAGCAGGAGAAGGCCCTGTCGCCCATACAATGTAGACGGGCTTGGGGGACAGTAAGGAGGGCAGAAGTTGAAGAGCGGAGGTTGGGAGGTGGGGAGTAGGGCGATAATAGTTCAGACAGGTACTGAGGTGCCAAGCCATGTAGAGCCTTAATTAAGCCTTAATTTAAACAGTGAAGTCATTTCTCACTCGCTGGTGATGCGTGATTGCTGTCACGTTCCACCCAGGTGGGAGCAGCAATTCAGTGATGGATCAGGTTTGATCCCTTCCCTTATGTAAAGTGCGTCTGGACCAAAGAAACTAATTAATTATGCATGTCTGGAATATAAAGCAGCAGCATTGAACTGTTTTTCCACTGTGATGGAAATATCCATTGTGTATTTTTCCCCCATAAAGGAAAGACTGAGCATCCTCACTAAAAAATACATTGTGTACCATCTGTTTGCACCCTCAACCCATGGGTCTATAGCAAGTATATCTATCTGCATATGACTCTGTTATGAGACTGTCTGCTCAACTTATCTGAGGCTCAGATCATGTTCTGACTTTGCTGGCATTCTCAGCCTGAATAGAAAAACTCTGGATCAGCCTGTTTTGTCGCTCATCTTTCATTAAGCCAAGGTTGACAGAAGGCCAGGAATGTACTAGTCAAGGGCTGGCCTTCCTTTTCAGTCTCTGATAAAGTCACTTTTTTATTCAAATTCCAATGGTTAATTGAGAAAGCAATCACTTTCTGAGAAAACAAAATAAGATTATTTACTTTTCCCAGGCTTGTTTTATCATAAATAAAACAGAACATGTGCTACTTATTTACATATTGAGAGTGAGGTGTGGTAGCCAATTTAGTACAGTATATTAAAAGCAGAACACTTGATGGAATGTAAGAGCCAAGAAATAGCAGATTTATTTTTACTAAAATCAAGTGTTTTTGGTTTGCAAAGCTTGAAATGAACAAAAAAGAAATGCAGGTACAAACAGTTACTGTAAAAGGTAAGTGAGAAAAAACTGTCTCAAGTTTATATGCTCTAATGCCAAGCACATTCTGATTCAGCACCTCATAAAGTCATGTAATTTAAGTGTTAATTCAAATGAATAACCTAAGAGCAACTTTAAACTGAAAATGTCAGTTATAGTAATATTTAACATCATATGATGACAGCACCATAAAATATACAGAAAAGTAATTTATTAGTCTATTAATGCATGCATGTTTTTAGAAAAATAAAGTTGATGAATTTCAGATATAAATGTTTTCAGTAATTTTGAATAGTTTGTCATCCGTGACTGATTGGGACATTCAAGGACTAAATCGCCTTAGTAGTGAGAAATTGGATTGAGCAGGGGTGATGAGGTGATTTAATATAGACAAAAAAAAGAAGAAAAAAGAAAAATGGAAATAGGACAGAAAAAATGCCCCACTTAAGTCTGATATCCACAAGTTCACAGACATTTTGGATGACCACAAGGTCAACATCATCATTTGAGTGTGAAGGACTATCTAGTCACTACAGAACTATACTTTTAGTAGAAATTGATGACATTTTGTTTGCAAAGAATAAACTGATCCTGGAATGCAACATGCTCTTCCTGATGTGAGGGTATTCCAAAAATGCAACCAACACCCTTGGTTGCTCATGTAATAATGGCTTTCATGCATGATGAGAATGCAAAAGTGATTCTACTGAATTGCCAAACATGAAAATGAGTTTGAATTTGTTATAATCTGTGGCACAGAGGACAGGTACGTGCTTCTGAAAGTGCTACGAGAAGAATTGGACAGAACTCCACCAGACAACATCTGCAACATGGATCAAAGCAAGTGTCACAGATGAAGAGCTTGTACCACTTCCAACAGTGGGCACACATACTGTACTACTAGCCTATGACTTTCACAGGAGACCACCTGTTAATAAACCCTGTAGCTAACACATTTATGACAAATTATGTCATGTCTGATCATTACAATGACCAAAAAAACATTTATTTTGATGAACAGTATATATTAACACAAACAAATACACAACTTGTGTTTAGATACAGCAGAAAGGTTTTATTAAATGTATTCCCTCAGTAATCCTTCCGATTGAATGAGGAAACTCAACGAAGACCTAAACAATTGTTTATTAGAACAGATATTTTGGCGGACAGTGTGATTTGTCATTTGGTTAAATTACATCAGAAGACTCTAATGCCTGTGGATAGCAGGAGGAAGTGGGATTACAGTAACTCTCTCAAGGGAAACAACTGCAAACACATTCAGTGTTAACCCTTGCAAAACACTGCTTGTCCTCTTGCCTTCTACACACATCAGGATGTGGAAATGCTCTCTCTCCATCTCCCCAGTTTCTGAACGATGTTTAAACAAACATGACTCTGCAAAAGTGTGCTTCCCGCTTGCACTTGGCTCTGATATGTGTTTGTCCCCGATTCACAAGATTAAATGAATTTGAGACAATTAACAAATGGGACACCCGAGAGATACTATTTCACATCACTTGTGTAATGTATCTTTCTGCTTTGTCTTTGTTTCTTCACGTCACTGTGCTAAGCCTCCATCTGTGACTAAACTCTTAAAAAACCACTGACAGAATTTAAATCCTTTACTTCCTCAGGAGGTAGAAGAATAGGAGGGAAGAGGTGACTAATGACATTTAGTTATGTAACACATCCCTAATTATTTTTTTCCCTTTGGTTTAGACTGTTCTCTAAAACACCAGCTGATACAACTGAACCAATGGACATAACTGAAGAAGAGATTTTTTACGCTCACTGGCTTTCAAGGTTGAAAAGCAACCAGCTTCCATTTCTAGCCAAATGCAACATTTGAAATACACGTGTCGAACAATCACTTAGTGAGCTGGCAAGCACTGTATGCTGAAGGCCACATTTTTTTTTTTACCTTTCCTGGGACATAACAGCAAAAATCAGCATCCATAGACAAATTACTGCAATTGGTTTAAATGCCCTAAGTATCTTCTCAAAAATGAAGTTTGAAGCGCAACAAATGGAATTTGTTGTAAAGGATCCATACATGGACATAGTCTGAGATAATTACGTGCAAAGCTATCTGAAAAGGTACATTACAGGTCATCAGTTTTTAAAAGATCTGAGATTATTATTTTCCTCAACAGACAGTAGGTATTCATTAGGCACTGTAATTCCTTTCAGCACTTTGAGACAGGCTTTTAATTTCAAAAACTAAATGAGGATTTTTAGAAAGGCAACAGGTTTTCAACAGTTTTTATTTTATATTAGTGGGAAATCAAGTAAAGATGCAGAAGATGCACAAAATGAGCTACCATCATACCAGTAAAAACAAGAATGAAGTTCTAAACAGAAACATGTGATTTTTATTTCAGCATCACACATCAGCATTCATTCCCCTTCACAAAACAATGACTGTGGATTTCCCAGGCTCAAAAGCACAAATTATTTTGTGTCAATTAAATGCGATGACCTGAAATGTCATCGCTTTCCACTTGAAGCGGCACACACCTGCACGGCACACATATTGAAACAAAAACCTGCTTGACTGTAGAGTACTGCTATTACTGCTAGCTATTATACACTGTCTGCTTCTTCGGTGCCCAGGAGATGGACCCTTCCGCCCTGCAGCATACCTGATCAATACATCTGAGTTAACATCTCAGGACAAGGGGGGGGCGGGGGAACTGGGCTTTTAGGTGGGTTCACCCATTGGTTCCCTGCTTCATGACTCATCTTTCACAGGGACCAAAACAGGCAAGGGGCCGAGAAAACATTGGGCTGATCATTCATTTGCAGCTCCCATACACAGAAATTACAGATGGCTTTTTCACCTTACAGTACATAAAAATGTTATACTATTAGATTAGGATGGGATGCATACTCTGAGTTAAGCTATTTTATCACTTTCAGAGAGAGAGAGCTTTGCTGTGGGAGGCACCAATGTGGG